TGTTGAACTAACGCGTTCCACTCGTGAGAGATCTGATTGATATTGACTACGGGTAGCTTCCAAGGAGAACTTAAACAGTGCTCCGAGAATGTTATAATCATAATGTCCATGTTTGCCTTGCATGGCGATTGTATATTTATAAGTGAGAAAAATAAGNAAGTTGACCCTTCCAGATGAATAACGTCTGGGGTATTAACCTGAATATACAATAGTTTCGACTGCAGCTGCAATGATGTAGTAAGTTGCAAAGTGATGTGCTATCATTTTGGAGTATGGTTATTCGATTGCATCCTACTGATTAGCGGAAAAGTTGCTTTAATCAATGTTACACCGCTAGACACTCTGAACACGTGCTTCTCGAGACGGATATTAGAATTATTTAAAATGGCACTATTTTAGTTTTATACCCAAAACTTTTCAACCGATCATATTTTTTGTAATGCACTGTTCGTGCAAGTTCATACGAATTCTATCTTAGTCTTCATTTGCTACTATAAAATGGTTTGAATCCGTAAACGTATATCGGTTAACGCACACAAAGAAACGCTATATCAACAAATTTGGTAAACCATTACAAAATATTACGTTTCGTTTATTTGTATATCGTTTTAAATAGCACTGATAAAACGGTATGAAAGGTAACAGCTTAGCGACCCGTTTGCTTTGGACTCGAATATCATCTTAAATACCCGTCGCCGCCATTCTTTTGATAATACTTTAATAGTCCTGTGGCCGTTTAGCGACTAGATAACGTGATTTTTCCAAACACAAATGATACACTGTTCTGATGAAAGTTGAATCGCTTTCTTTCACATGGTTACCTTATTTTTACAACCCAAACCTCTACAAGACATTTCCGGTATTTTTCCTGCTATTTCAGTGGATTCAAGCTTCATTATTTGAGTATTGTTTTTATAAATTTTTATGAATGTTCCCCTAAAATGAAAGTATGACTGCGTTTTTCGATTTCATGGCATTACTGAAAATTCCACTACCATGTAAACCCAGCTATTCTCTATTCGATTTGGTTTAATTAGAAAGATCCTATCTCCTTTCGTACAGGAAAACCATAAACTGCGGAGCGAATATTGCTGATTTATGACAAATAGTAGTAGTATTGGGATTACATAATACCCATTGTCTATTCAACTACTAGGAACTGCATTCGCCCTTTTAAGTATTTGTCTGATAGCCGTTTCTTTAATATTTCAGTATATTTCGATGTTAGTTGTTTTTTTTGACACTCACGCACCTATTCCGCTTGCGTTTCAGGTTGTCGTCACCGATGAGAATGACAATCACCCGACATTTAGGAACAAGTCATTCACTCTATCCGTCCCTGAGAATTCACTCAAGGGTACGCGTTTGATTCAACTGGTCGCTCACGATCCGGATCAAGGTCGAGCAGGTCAAATTGTTTACAGCTTAGCCTTACAACCGGGATCTGGTTATGTCAAACCCTTCCCGTCCCACTCCAATACTGCCTGGAATTCTCACTCCAATTCCCATAATCATTCCGCACCAGTTCAATTGTTTACGGTGGACTCACACAGTGGCTGGTTAATTCTAAACGGACCGTTGGACTATGAAAGAGTGAAACATCATCTAGTTCGCGTTTTGGCTCGAGATGAGGCCGGACATCCGGGATTCGATGAGGCTACTGTAAATATCCTTGTGACAGATGTGAATGATGTGCCTCCGACCATCTCCGTTGATCCCGTGACAGACTTGATGCCTTCGGACAACTCAAAATCTCGGTCACCGAATATGGATCAGTCTCAGTTAAATGTGCTGAATCTCTACGTGAATGAAACACCCCGATGGATAGGTAGAGATGGAGTCAGACACAGTATAGCTATCAACTCTGTTAGTGCGGCACAACCCATGCTACTGGCATTTGTGGCCGTGCGTGATCCGGACACTGGACGGGGTGGTGAATTCTACTGTGGGCTTGTCCAATCAACCAACAGCATCAGCGATAAAGAGACTGCCGCTTCACAATCCCGGCTCTATTTGTACGGAGATACGATCGTGAATGCGGATCAGCTTTTCTCAATGCGGCATGAAGAATTGGTGGATCGGAACGGGCCGAGTGTAGTTGGGCACTTCAAGTTGAATCCAATTTCAGCCACACAATTCGAACTCAGTAGCTTCGAGGGGTTTGATCATGAACAGGCGGCTGTTGAAGAAATACAGGTAAGACACATTATTGATTGAATAAAATAATATCTGCGGTGAGTTATTGTAAGAGGGGTGAAGAAACTTCACCTGAGTTTTTCTACACTGTAACATTTGTCAAAATGTCCATGGCTGAACAGGAGTGTACAGCAGCCATCCAATTATCTACACTACTTTCTGGAACTTCGCATTTAACTGCTTGGCATAAACTGCCATCATAACACCAAGCTCAACCGGATTATCATGAATACCAAGATAACATATTTGGTTGAACTGAAGCATATTTTTCAAGTTTAACCGTGTAGATTATCAAAAAAGCGTTCGCCAAGTCAATCAGCCTTATCATTAGTATAATGTATGAACAAACTATGGTACAGACTTTTACGATATGATTTGTGTTAGTGCTGTGCCTAAAATTAAACGTCAAATTCCGAACAAATGCTACAGAAATACACTTGGTATCACTAAGTGGCTTTCACGACGATAAACCCAATTCGAATAGACCGTCGAAACTGGTCAGTGTCCGATTTAGTGCAACTGACAATATAGGTGGTGAATGTTTGGATTAGTCCATTCGGTTTTTCACAGATTCCAGGCACTGTTGATGATGTTTGGTATGGGTTTCACTCCTTGAGAGATCGTTAATTCCCCACTATTTGAATGCATTTAACTGCGGTGGAAATGTTTGTGGTAATCGACAAAAAGCACTGTGCAGGTGTTTCGTCCTGGTTGAGACTCATCAGCAGTGCGTACTTTTGTGTCCCTGTCAGGACTCGAACCGTGATTCTTGGGGTCGGGACTTCAAACCGTCACCCCTGAGCTACATGGTCGACGGTTATCACCTTTTGCGAATGACTCAATACATTAGGATGGTGAATATTGGAAATAAATGACAATATGTTTACTTAAACGTCAAGTTTGGCTTTGTGCTTGATGCAAAAGATATCCACTCTGCACAGGATGTTACGAAGATCAATTTCATTAAGCTTTTTAAATGAATATATCCTTACAATCAGGAAACCCATGTGGGAGTTGATTGCATGAGCCCTTTTTGATTGTGGCAACCAAGGATTCAGGCAAAGATGCAGCTTGTATATTGCATTTGAAAACTTCACCTCGCAACTTGTCGTTGCGAGTAGTTAAATAGTTCTTGGAGCAAATATAGATTGATTTTAGTGATGAAGTCCCGGATCGTTCACTGGATCCAAATATAGCCAAAACGCTGCTCAATCCGAATTCCATTCGCCAATGCACTAGCACTACCAAAAAAATTATTCATATAGCCAATTATGCCCAGACGAGGTACCTGATTTCTGGGATGTTGCAAATATACTGAACTACAAGTCATTTGGTCAGTTTCCTTTGATATAAGACTGTGAGATTCTGCTCTTGAACAAGCAATGGGTTGATTTTACGAGAACGTAATCAGTAAGCGCCGTGCATACTGAAACGGAAGTTACTCCGTGGACCATTTGACAGGTGATTGGAACAGGCTACGGCAGCGGCCATTATAAAATATTTATTGGACTAAGCAGTGAAGCATATGGAATGTACACGGCTTGATATGTGACGGCCTAATAACTCTCTGTTACGAGTATGACAACCAATACAACCCCGTCATTCAAACAGCGGATGCATTGTTCAATACTACTGTTTTACCAAGATCGTCAATAGCACTGTTGTCATTCAGTCCGAATGTATGAAGAAAGTTTCATAACTAATTAATGTCCTCAACTTAACCGAATTTGTTACGGCTCCTCACGCTAGTGAACAAACACGGATTTTGTTGCCAGGTGCTCACTCAGGAGTTAGTTGTTAAGTCTGCACGATTAGAGAGACATATAAACTCAGAATACATGTTTCATTGTTCTTGATGTGTATGTTCAACTACAGAATCAAAAAGAATACTGATGCGACAGTATAGACAGTTGAACCTTGCAGTGTGCATAACACATTCAGTTCAAATTGTGGCTCAACGCTCCATCAAAAGAACAAAGAAATAGGCAACTGGTGTCAGAGAGCTGATACGCCGGTGGATCCTTTTATCCTATGTGTAGGCCCCAGAAATAATCAGAATGTTATCATGAAAACCAGCAAAGAATATTACCAAACAATAAGAAAATATTAGGAGGATTACAGCATACTAAGGTCAAGGATAAAGCTCACTGAAAGGGAGGAGCTTACAGAAGTTTGATAAACAGACAAAAGAGCACCGAATACGAATAGGGAACCGGAGAGTGGGTTTTGCGTCCAAAATGGGAGAATGAAACACAATTATTCTTCACGTAAATCATCGAAACTCACTCAAAGCAAGACTTAATTGCATGGTGCAAGTTATCCACACGAGATCCATGGTTGGAACGCGTCTCACTGAAAAACTTCAGCGACATGCTCGTGAACTTAGTTTTTCTTGGCCACAACGAATGAACAAACCAAAACACAAGGCATTGGTGACAACGCTTCGACCCTCTTGGAAAGTCTTTCTCAAGATCCTATTGCCTTACCATTGCTTGTAACGTGAGATTAACCGATTAAAGGACTTGAAAAAGACCTTCGAACAGGATCAAAACTTTGTCACCAACGCCTTGTGTTTTGGTTTTTCCCTCGTCGTGGCTAAGACAAGCTAATTTTCACAACCGTGCATGTTATTTTCAATGAATATAATGAAATTATCTGCAGACAGAGGAGTAAAGCAGATAAGTGGTTTAAACATTTTACTTGTCGCTTTAGGCATTGTGAAAACCACCCATGGGTGTGGTGGGATTGCATAAAATCAACGGTTCTACCGCTTCTACGTATCTTATCTGATTGCCCCAGGATGTAACAACTCAATTACAGTCAACCAGTACTCATTCTTGTTTACTGCACGGTTTTTACAGCAGCATGTAAAAACGAGCACATTCTTAAACATTGCTGCAAATGAGTCCGTAGTAATTAATTAATTAATTAGGTGCTGCAGAGCTTGCAGGAAATGCTGATGCAGGTAACAGCGCTTAGCTTTTTTAAATGATCGAGCTCACATTTCAGCGCAATATGTAGATGAGCTTACCACTGTGTACGATCAAAACATGCCCACGCGTAGTGATTAACTTAACTCCAAAATCCAATTAGTAAGCAATAATTGAGTGTGACCGAAAATAGAATTAATGCATTTTAGAGTGTCACAGTATCACAATGATTAACAACGACGGTGCTTGTTTGTCTGAGTGCATGCTCACCAGATTCATCCAACCATAGGAGAAATTGTATTTTTCTTTGTATGATGTCGCCCAATCTTGGTTGGAAAGTCAATAATGACGACAACAATTTAATCCTTGAACCGTTGACCGTGTACTTTCAGATTAGCTGCTCTTGTTCTTCTCGGGGTGTTGACGTCTGTGTGTATGGCACTCATTTATATTGTGTGTTATACTGCATCCTTTATGCACGACATTGTCACAAAATATTGAACCTGGATTTATAATCGTTTGTTTAGTTAGAAAGACTACAATGATCCTGGAATCCTCAATTATTTCACGGAAGGAGCTTCACCACAAGACCTGAAACCTGTTTGCAATTCTGCGATTGCGAGCAGGCACCTGTCTTTGCCCAAAATATATATGTGAGGAACAATTTATTTGGCAGACATTAGTCATATTCGTAATAGAGGTCTGTAGAAGAATAAATTATCTGATGGAAACATGCGCTCTTGTCGAATAGCTCCAAAAATCGAACCAAATGTAACAAATCGACCTGTCCCGCGACTGACACCGAATTCAGACAAGATAATCATGACTCAGGCAAAAGATGGATGAGCGCAAGATGGTTAGAACCCATGGGTCATCGTGGGAGAAGTTGGTCCGACTATTTGTGCTTGCGTGTATATGCGTCGTCTGTACGTGACATTGGGACATTGATCACTCCCCAGAGGGGATCAACTTGCAATGCAACGGTTCACTTTGTCGGATAAATAATCCCTCGCATTTTAATCTTTCTTTTGGTTTTCCTAACAAACTTACAGACCTAAAGTTCAACTCGGGATCAAACTGTGGGTTAAATGTGGAAAGCTAATGGCGTGAAATAATCCTGTCACAAGAGACTTTCGAGTAATAAAGGAGAAGAGCCNGAATAAACTGATCTAAGCTGCCATTTGTTGCAAGGATGATTTTACATGTGAACTTTTACTCACACGGAACTCAAATGTGGCAAGATCGCAAAACGAAGTAGTAATTGAATTGCAATGAATACTCGTCATCATCAAGGTAGAGTAACACGCATCTCAATCGCAAGTATTCATAGCAAAAGATTGGTAACTAATCAATTACGTCACCGTGATTTAAAAATGTGAACCCAATTTGTAACCCATTTTTTACTCTGTTCCACTCTGCCATGCACAAATGCACTTTGTTTAGTTGAATAACAAAGCACCAAAAGTGCNNNNGCGTTGATTTACCAATTACTGACCCGTACTCTATCGGTGGGATTCAGGGAGAAATAACGATAAGGCCTAATTCCTTCCCGAGAGAATACTTCTCGAATTTCTCAAATGAAAGAAAAAGCATTTTGATCATTTATGACCTTCATAATATACTGTAGACCAATACGTGTTTTAACACATTTGCACCCGGAAGGAAAAAGCCGAAGAAAGGTTCGCATGACACCTTTAAAACGCAGGAGTTACAGCGTTCTGACACGTCTCACAATTCTTCGGTCACGACCTGTGGTCTTTCGACGAATAAACCTTAGCCATGCTGCTGTAAGCGGGTTAGATCGAAAAGTATCGAAATATTCTGCGATCAACGACGCTGGGACATTTGGTTTCCTACAACTGTTGATGTTACAAAGTCAGGTTAACAAATGAGACGTGGTAAGCAATCGATTGTCGTAACTGTATCAAATTTTCCAACGTGAATAAACTGATGACTGACTTTGTATGAGCCGTGTTGCTTATCTTCTGCGTGTCGGCGCATTCTCCTTGCCAAATAATGTCTTACTTGAACGGGGATGAGGAACAGTCAGCATTCTCCTTTATTGTATCGCCTTTTGATTTCTGTCATGGC